GGTACGCGTATCCCTGGTTGCGGCCAAAACAAGGGTAGGACCCAGTAAGAGTACTACAATTCCACGAATGGAACTCAGTGCAGCACGACTACTCGCTATGACAATGGAAGAGATTTGTCACGCCTTGCGACTGGACAGCGCAGGTTGTATGTATTGGAGTGATTCGACCATTGTCCTCCACTGGATCCAGAAAGCACCGACCGTACTAAAGCCGTATGTAGCCAATCGTGTGGCAATCATACAAACTCATTCTGAAGTGAAGNCTCCACTGGATCCAGAAAGCACCGACCGTACTAAAGCCGTATGTAGCCAACCGTGTGGCAATCATACAAACTCATTCTGAAGTGAAGTGTTGGCGACACATCCGAAGTGAACACAACCCAGCAGACTGAGCCAGTCGTGGCATTCCACCAACGGCGCTTGAAGATCATCCACTCTGGTGGACTGGTCCACCAATTATGTACACTTGTTTCAACCGTAGCACCGAGTTGCCTGCTTTGACTGACGAAGAACAACAGACAGCAACGTTGGAGAGCCGCCCCCCTCGCAGCTTGGTGACCGTGCGACATGTGGATGCGACATGTGGATTATTGCGCACGACATTCGGTGGCAGACGAATTCCTTTGGTGGAAAAGTTTAGCCGTCTGAATAGACTGCTTAACACTACGGCACGTCTACGGCGATCTTACCTGCATTCCGAGGTCACCGAGGCGATCCGCTGACCACAGAGGAGAGGGCATGGGCCCTTGAGGTTCACATTCGACAGTCACAAGGTAATGTGTACCTATCAGATATTAATTCGTTCAGATCTCATTCCAGCATAAGTTCCACAAGTAAGCTAAAGTCCCTGAATCCCTTCTTGGACGAAAAACAGATACTTCGAGTCGGTGGTCGCTTACAGAGAGCAGAGTTGTCATTTAATCAACGGCACCCGATCATTTTAGCGAAGGATGGAGCATACCTTTGGTCGTCGTCGCGTGCGGACGTGTTTTTGCTCGCTCTCGATTGGCATAATATTCATATTTTCGTTACATATGTATACATTTGCCTGTACAGTGGTTAAACTATACAACAACAAAATTGCATTCAGTCATATAAATGATACTGATGAGACAGTGACTCTGTGGTAATTTGTGCTAAAATGCCTTGTTTGTGTGGCAATAAAGTGGAACGATCGCACCAGCATAAAATTCAGTGCGCAGGGTGCAATGAACTTTTTCACTTAAAATGCGTTAATATTTTGCCGTCGGATGCTGAGTTCCAAGTGAACTCTGACAAACCTTTTTTTTGCAATACATGTGCAGATGTTCGGCGAAAGTCGATTCGCTCACCGCCTCCCCCCCTTGATCTTGTGGAGAGTGACATTTCTGTGTCTACTAACAATTCGGCTTCTAATTTGAAACAACAAGAACAATAGCTGAAATATATTTCACCTACGCAGCAAATTGCTGAGTTAAGTGAGTGTATTGAAAATTCTAACGATGAAAATCAACCAATATTATTGCAAACGGTCGTAAAAGAAATTGCAGCTCTTAGAGCGGAGAACGCACACGTTGTTGCGTTGGTTAATGCACTCCGCGAAGACAATAAGCGTTTAATTTGCAAAACTGAATGCCTGCAGTCTGAACTTCACTCTTTAAAGAGTACTATTCGCTTTGAAGAGTTCGCATCTGCAATTACTACGCTCTCAGCTGAAGTGAAAGGTGTTCGCATCGACCTTCGCTCTTCTATTAACAACAATACACCCAGTAAACAATTAGCTCCCTCCACTAATACTAACGCGGCTTCACCAGCCAACTCTACTTCAGCTCTCAAGTTACGCTCTCTACCTGCTGCTTCTGCAAAACGTACTGATAAGAGCAATCGGCAGATGCGTCAGAGTATCACTGGCTCTAATGCAAATGCACCCGATCTACCTGCTGCTGATAGGAATGCTGCTTCATCTTCTTCATCTTTGGCCCCTGGCCTTGTTGCTACTGATAATGATGAAACACCCACGAATTTCGCTACTAAAGTTGGCGATTTATCTTCTGCAAATGGAAACACAGTTACTGTACAGAACATTAATGCTGGAACTGCTGGCAGCGCTTATGCCTCCATTCTTGCTCGCGATAACGGTGGGTATAATGCAAATGCTGTTCAGGATGGTATTGCTGTTGGTATTGCTGCTACTGGCAAACGAACTGATGAGAACAGTCGACAGAAGCTCTCAGAGTATCATTGGCTCTAACGTAAACAAAGATCTCGACGTTGTTGTACGAATGAAATGGCTTCACATTTCTTCATTTCATCGTTCGGTTTCTGAGGATAAAATTTTGGATTACATCGTCAAGCATGCTAACATTGATAAACAATACCTAGTTTGTCATAGACTAATAAAAAAAGATGCGCCTCCCGATTCATATATAAAAGTCAATTTTAAAGTTGGTGTTTCCTATGCGTTTTATGATATAGTTTCGTCATCTGACCTGTGGCCTGTGGGTGTAAAAGTACGTCCGTTTCATTTTTTAGCCAGAGAGGAAAGTACAAAAGATGCACCGTAGCTGCTACTGATATAAAGCAACAGTTGGTCACTGGGGGGGCTAACTATTTATTTTCAAAATGCCTCTGGCCTTAGAAATAAATCGCACGCTGTTAAAGCGTTCAGCTCGCAATTAGACTATGGCATATTTGTTATTATTGAGACCTGGTTAAATCCGAACTTTTATGATGCTGAATTTTTCGACCCAAATTTGTTTGTCGTCTTTCGCAAGGACAGAGATAATTAATCTTGGCACAATCTCACTTTCAGCAAGCGATATTGTTAACGGTATTTCTAAGCTCAAACCATCATCAAAGATGGACATTGATGGGCTCTCAGCAGTTTTCCTAAAAAGCTGCCCAGCAGTAGTTGCTCCTCTGGAAATAATTTTTAACAAGTCTTTATATTGCGGCGAGTTTATTGATGCCTGGAAGGTTGCTTCAATAGCTCCCATCTTCAAGAGTGGCAATAAGAGTGATGTCTGCAATTATAGACCTATATCTAAACTAACGAACATCTCGAAGCTTTTTGAGGGCATTATTAAAGATAAGATTTATTTCTCTGCAAAAAGTATAATCAGTCCTAATCAACATGGTTTTGTGGTTGGGCGTTCCACTGTTTCCAACTTAGCCGTTTTCAGTGAATTTTGTGTTTCCGCTTTTACTGCCGGAAGCCAAGTGGACTGCATATATACTGATTTCTCGAAAGCTTTTGATACAGTCTGCCACAAAATACTAATTTATAAACTTGCTTTTCTTGGGTTCCACTCAATTTTCTTGCAATGGCTTAAATCCTATTTATGCAAAAGGCAGTGCATAGTCACCATTGATAATGTGTCGTCTGATGCTTTTACTGCCACTTCAGGAGTTCCTCAGGGGAGCATTCTTGGTCCTCTACTCTTTACTTTGTTTATCAATGACATTACTTCGTGTTTTTCTCATGCTAGTTGTTTGCTATATGCCGATGACCTGAAGATCTACTCAGTGGTAAATAACAGGCTGGATAAGCTGAAACTTCAATCGGATGTTGAGACTCTTCACTCATGGTGTATTAGATCGCATCTTTGCTTAAATATAAATAAATGTTGTCATGTTAGTTATTCGAAATTGCGCTCCCAATTTGAAAGTTCATACAGAATATCTAACTGTGTTTTACGCAGTGTTAATGAGATTAAGGACCTTGGGGTTATAATCGACTCTAAATTTACTTTCAATGATCATGTTAATTTCATTATTTCGAAATCTTATGCTATGCTTGGTTTCGTTCGGCGGAACTGTACTGAATTTTCTGATCCTTATACGTGGAAATTGCTCTACACCTCATTTGTGCGTTCACATCCTGAGTATGCTACAATAATTTGGCGGCCTTTTCATCAGTTTAACATTGACAGGATTGAACGCGTTCAAAAGGTTTTCCTTAAATATGCTTTGCGATCTCTACATTTTACTGATCCCACCCCGTCATACAATTCTCGATTGCTTCTTTTAAATTTAAAAACTCTGGAAAGCAGGAGGTCTGTCCTCTCTTTAACTTTTGTTCTTAGCATTATTCAGGGTGTTCTTGACTGTCCGGCCTAAGGGAACTACGTAGTAACTATCCGTTTTATGGCAATAATAATAGAACTATCTATGCCCGTAATGCACCTCTTACACGTGCCTTAATTGAACTTAACCAGATCTCAACTTTTATCGAGCTTGATTTTTCTTTACAAAGAAATATTTTTGTCAATCTTTTGAACTCATTTTTTAACTAATGTTGTATTTTTACTTGTGTGAGTAGCCTGTAAGAATTATTGTTCATAGGCTACACAATAAAAAAATTAATTAATAAATAAATTATCATGGCTGCGTATCGGCGATGCCCATGAGAAGTGTATTCATGGTGGCATTCAAGGGATGATGCAGTATTTGCGCCAAAGTTTCTGGATCGTACACATTCGCGCATTGGCCAAGACGTTTATCCATCGATGTGTTGAATGCCGCCGTCATCAGCGAATCACCCAACAACAACAGATGGCTTCGCTCCCGAGATCAAGAGTATTGGTTGCACCACCGTTCACGTACACAAGCCTCGATTACTGCGGCCCATTTAATGTGCGACTGGGTGGTAAGAGGTCGAACGTTTTGACCAAGACTTATGGTGCGATTTTCGTCTGCATGGCCTCTAAGGCCGTGCATATAGAGCTGGCTGAGAATTTGACAACCAGGGCATTTATTGACGTATACGACCGCTTTACAAGCCGACGAGGTATTTGCGCCACACTTTACAGCGATAATGGTACGCAACTTGTTGGAGCCAATAAACAGCTGCAGCTTGACTTGGCGGAATGGTCGAACACGCAAGCGAAACAACATGTAGCCGCTGTAGGTACGAAGTGGAGATTCATCGCTCCTGCAGCTCCACATCATGGTGGACTCTGGGAGGCCGCTGTGAGATCTGCGAAGAAGCACCTGTACCGGACGACTGGTCGTCAAACATTGAGATTTATAGAACTAAGCACTCTACTAACTCGAATAGAAGCGTGTTTGAATTCTCGCCCACTGGTGGCTCGTCACGATGATCCCGAAGGTGGTCTAGCACTCACTCCTGGAGAGATCCTTATTGGACGACCGCTTGTTTCACGCCCCGAGCCTGCTGTACCTGATGTTCCTGAGAGTCTCAAGTATTGGCAGCGGCTGCAGCGCATGTATGAACATTTTTGGAAGCGATGGCAGCAAGACTACCTCACTTCGCTTCAGGCACGTGGCAAATGGGCACGTCCTCATCCCAATCTTCAACGCGGCGACGTAGTACTTATCCTCAACGAGAATCTTCCACCAGCTCACTGGCGTATGGCACGAGTCATCGATGTACATCCTGGCGACGATGGCCTAGTGCGCGTCGTAACCGTCGAGTACAACAGCGATAAGAGGACAGCCGAAGGTCTCTATGTAAAGCATCGATGTCACCGACCGGTTCAGAAGCTTTGCCGGCTAACTGGTCCCAACGAAGAGATCCTGAACCGTGACGGTTCAGCCGGGCAGGATGTATAACACATCATGTCCCATCACTGATTTGATTACATGTATATATTTTTCGCATTCAGTGGCATCACTTGTTTCTTGAGTAGTTTTTGTTATTCTGTCGTTTTCTCTGTTGTTTCGCTGCACATTGGCAGGCATAACTTTAAAATTGTAATTTGCTTATTATTAGAAGAAAAATAAAGCTCGACTCGGACAGACGAGTCCTTTGTGTAAGAAATCATTTTTCATCAATTGAATTGCTGTTGGACTTTTGGAGCGGCCAGCGAGTGGCCGTCTGAATGTATCAAGGATTCTGATACAATGATGTGTTTCATTTAGAGTGTAAGTATGCATTTCCACATTTACATTAAACCGAAAATTCAATAAATAAAATGAAGCTGATTCTAATGAGATTTTAAATATTTTCATATTTACAAAAACTTTCATTTCAAAGATGTTGAGTTCTATCAAATATGGTAAATGCATAACAAATTGTTAATTTCTTTGTTTACATTTTTTGACATTACAGTCAGGTATGAGAGAGCTCGACTGAATTGTCACTTCTACCTTGTTGAATATGCCTTGGAGTAGAGTACAATGCAAGGAGTACTCATTGAACGAGCTGAGCTAAGTCCCCTTTCACACACGTCAAGTCTTGAAAGCAATTGTTATCGCATTCTCTTTTGTGTTTTCTCTTTGCTTCCACACGCATCAAGTTTTATTGAATTCAACTACTTGGTTCTTTAAACGGGAAGCTACGAAAAGATCAAAAGAGAACAAGAAAACTTGAAACGAATTGACGGTACGGAGGTATCTGTACTCTTCCCACCTCCTTCACCAACGAACGAGCAGACTTGAAAGCAAGACTTGACGTGTCTGAAAGGGGACTTAGTTCAACNCAGTGGCATCACTTGTTTCTTGAGTAGTTTTTGTTATTCTGTCGTTTTCTCTGTTGTTTCGCTGCACATTGGCAGGCATAACTTTAAAATTGTAATTTGCTTATTATTAGAAGAAAAATAAAGCTCGACTCGGACAGACGAGTCCTTTGTGTAAGAAATCATTTTTCATCAATTGAATTGCTGTTGGACTTTTGGAGCGGCCAGCGAGTGGCCGTCTGAATGTATCAAGGATTCTGATACAATGATGTGTTTCATTTAGAGTGTAAGTATGCATTTCCACATTTACATTAAACCGAAAATTCAATAAATAAAATGAAGCTGATTCTAATGAGATTTTAAATATTTTCATATTTACAAAAACTTTCATTTCAAAGATGTTGAGTTCTATCAAATATGGTAAATGCATAACAAATTGTTAATTTCTTTGTTTACATTTTTTGACATTACAGTCAGGTATGAGAGAGCTCGACTGAATTGTCACTTCTACCTTGTTGAATATGCCTTGGAGTAGAGTACAATGCAAGGAGTACTCATTGAACGAGCTGAGCTAAGTCCCCTTTCACACACGTCAAGTCTTGAAAGCAATTGTTATCGCATTCTCTTTTGTGTTTTCTCTTTGCTTCCACACGCATCAAGTTTTATTGAATTCAACTACTTGGTTCTTTAAACGGGAAGCTACGAAAAGATCAAAAGAGAACAAGAAAACTTGAAACGAATTGACGGTACGGAGGTATCTGTACTCTTCCCACCTCCTTCACCAACGAACGAGCAGACTTGAAAGCAAGACTTGACGTGTCTGAAAGGGGAC